TAAAATCTCTTCTGGATCTTTCCTACACTTGCTGGACTGGGAATTATGGGAAGAGCCCTGGGCCTTGCTTAGAAGCATGATAGGTAGAGATCTGCAGGTCTCCTGTGTTTGCTTTGCATAGGGTGGTCTCAACAATTACAGCAGTCTTTTTTTTTTTTTTTTTACACGAGAGATGTAGGTACAAACAGCAGTTTGTAATACAGTATAGGTACACATTGGGTGGTAACTTCTAAGAAAAAGAAGTACCTAGCTATTCTTAATTATGAATCTGAACAGGAAGTGATTCAGGACAGCCAGGATGGGGACTTTATCTCTCTTACCCTGATTCAGATCCCATTATTTTCCCTATGATCCAGACTGCCCCTGACTCTTTATAGGAACCTGCACGTCTATAGCAAGTTTCAGCATTTCTCTCTGCTTTAATCCTTGTTGTTATGTTTCCTGCTCCTGCCTGACTTGTTTTACTTCATCTCCAAATATATAGATATATTTGATAGATGTGGGTTCCAGTCAAGCTGGAATCAGTGGCGCATTCTTGCAATACATATTTTCAGTTTTCATTCTTTTTAATCTGAAGGTGAGAGATAGAAAGTGAGAAATGAAGTGAGATTCTTTTCTTTCATTAAAGCTCCATTTTATCTTTTTTAAAGTGCTATGAGGGATTTTGATATAACAAACAAATGTAGGTTTAAAGATCTGCTTTGAGGTGATTGAATGGATCAAAAACCCCACCCCATACAAGTAGTCCTCGGCTTACATCCATTTGTTCAGCGACCATTCAAAGTTACAGCGGTGCTAAAAAAAATGGACATATGACCAGTCCTCAAAGTTGTGGCCATCACAGCACCCCCACGGTAACATGATTGCAATCCAGGCGCTTATGTGCCCAGCTTGCAATTATGACATTACAGGGAGCTGCAGTCATGTGATCGCTATTTGTGACCTTCCCTGCCAGCTTCCCATAAGCAAACTTAATGGGGAAGCCAGCAGGGAAGGTTACAAATTGCTCCAGTAAGTTGCTCCTGCTTTTTCTACCACCTGCAACACCCCCCACCCATGCGCAGCCTCCACTGGCCCTCTTCCATTCTCCCGCAACTTATGCGCAGCCTGCCTTGGCCTCCCAGGCCCTCCCCTGGCCTCCCCACACCTTTGCGGCACCCCCACTGTCCTTACATGGGACTTCTACCTCTTCCTGCTTAACACGTCACATGTCTTGGGATTACAGTGACAACCGGGACTGCCCGGGATTGCCATCACTAAGCGATATGGTCCTAAAGTGTGACGTCACATGACCACATCGCTTAGCAATGGCAATCCTGGTTCCCGTTGCTACCGAAGGACTACCTAAACATCTTTTTTGCATCCGTGATTTTAAAGTTACTTGACTATTCAAGTGACTTTGCCTAGTGTGGTCCTTGGGTCCACCTGCACATAGCATTACTTCCACTAAGATGAAGCTCAGCAATTATTAAATGCAAGTAACGCTGAAAGAAGCTGCAGGTAAAGAGAAAGCAATTAGAATGCATACTCTGTCTTCAATCAATGGAAGAAGAAATTGCTTAGAAAACTAATATGTTCCTTTGGAATTAGGGATGATGGGGTTTATCTATCACTATCTGATACAAATAGACATATATCTGTTAAAATATTATCCTAAAACTTCATATTTTTGCTTTTTTAGGACTTGCCAAACAGTTTGGGTATAAGAGAAAAGTGTACGAAGAAGCTATGGCTTTACCTTTACAGTAAATCTTGAAATTATGCTGCCAGTTACAATAAGCGTACACTGTAGCAGGTTGAAGTATTTTAGATGAGCATAAGTAAGGGGGGAACACTAATGGGATAATGATAAAAATGACTATATCACTGATGGATAGCTTTAATTATCTAGACATCTGTTGAGCATCAAGTACAGAAAAAACATGAATCACCAGGACTTCCTTGTGCTAAACGGGAGTGATTTAATGATGCAAAAAATAGAAAGACAGGCTAGAGGAGATATTACTCAGGTTCTTGTACCATGCTGACAAGAAGGAAATGACCAAGAATGTGACTATAATGGAGGTGGCTTGAAAAACTGCCTAACAATTACATGAATTTATAATTTAATTACTAGCATGTGAAAATATTTTTGCAGTGATTCTGGACAATTACATTTAATTTCTTATCATTATTCTGCCCTGGGGACAATGGCAGGAGCGCATATTTAGTCTTCTTTTGAAAACCTAAATAAATTTTATTAAGCTTTATTTAAGCACATACCTGTCATACTCTGGCCACATATACTGACTTTTTATCCTAGTGTTGTCCCTCACTTCAAGAGGGAGGCGAGGGATTTTTTGGCCTCACTGGAATATCTTTAGAGGCATATATATTGTTAACACTGGAATGAAGAATCCACAGATCGTTTCATAACTATTGCAATCATGTAAGAAGCTAGTTTGTACATGTTTGTCCATAATTAATCATGATTTAATAAAATCCAGTGTTCTGGGTTTGCACAAGATACTGTGCAAGACTCATAAACAAACCATATGACTAAGTTCATATATCTATCTAGATTAAAATATGGTTGGCTAGTTTGTAGTCCATTTGTCATACAAATGCAGCTATTGATTAGGTTAGCATTTTTAAATGTTATTTATAGTTGTTCTGAATGGCTTACAAGAATACATATGTGACATATAAAATTCCATAATCACTTACAATTCTAAAACAAAATTAAAACTAAAACTAAAATCTCTAAAACATTAAAATTCTAAAAAACCCTGGGTAAAAAGGAAAGTTTTAAGCCCTGCCTTAAAACTTAAAAATCACAATAGTGGAATAGTTCAACCCCAGCTGAGCTTTTTAGGGTAAATCAATAATTGCAATTTAAAACCTATTTGAAATGTTACTGTTAGTTTTGTGCCAGATTTTGGCATTCCAACATTTTTTCAGTGTGTGGTTATGCGTAGTGCATTTCGGAACCACAGAATATAATGACGACAAGTGTAATACGGGCAATTATATTTAGCTATTTGACAGTGTCATTGAATGTTAACAAAGTCTTTGCCTTGCTTTCCGTATGATTGGAGGGGGAATAGGGAATGCATCCCTGTTGCCATAGAAACTAGGCTATTATTCCTCGCCTTGCCATCCTGTACTGGTAGCTTCGTTACTGGGAGCAAGACTTTTGCTTTGATTCAGTTCTAGTTATATGTGACTTCATGTGTGGATATGCAATCCATGGACAGCAATGCAGTATAAATAGATAATTTCCCCTTTGAACATGTAACTCAATCCACCTTTTATCTGAATCAAATAGGATTATTTATTAAAATTGTTTTAAAAAATGCTCTTCATTTTTATGTGTACTAGGACAGTGTATATAGTAACTGTGTCTAAAAAAAGTTATATGAGAATAAATACATGTATAATAAAACAACGAAACAAATGTAAACAACTATAAGGCATTTAAAAGAATATAGATTAACCAATAGAATCTTAGTTTAAATGCCCAGGAGTGAAACATGTCTATGCAATCTTACAGAAACAATGCAAAGTCCACACTAGTTATTTTCTGACAAGGCCATTTCCCAATAAGGTGTACCACAAAGAAGATTCTCTCTCTTAGGGCTATCATATCTCAGCTGCAAAAATCCAGACAACCACTAGACTGTGGGAAAGAGATACAGAAAACTCATTCTTTGCTTCCACTGAGTACCGTTCCAAATTTTTGCAGCCCAGAGCTGGTGGCTCTGCTCTCTACCTGCCACATATACTTGAGGAAGAAATCTTCTACTGAAGGTCCCTAGGTAAAGACAGCCTGATATAAGGGAGGTGTGCTCCTTGACAGCATACTACTAGCTATCCATGTTCAGCTGCATTAAGCAAAGAGAGTGGTTCCCATCAACGTATAACACAATAAGGTCGCTAAAATAATGGGGAGTGTTTTTATGGTATTCAGGGAAGGAGAACAGCCTTACGTTTCAGTTCAGTACTGGTTATTTATGATGGTTGTGCTGGATTAAATCAAGACATCTTTCATTCTTGCTATCCATTTCAGAATTTCACTAACATAAATTGAAGTGTTAAAGAAATGAGACATGTATATTTAAATAGTTAAATACTTTTCTGAAAAGGGGACCAGCTTTAGAGAAACTCCCAAATATGAGCAATCTTCTTTACTTTGTCTCTCAGATGTTTTGTTGCCTCATTTTGTCTATTCTGTTTATGAAACAGTATTCCCATACCAGGCAATTAAGGAACTATCTGCTTTATGTGAATCCATAATAATTAAAAGCTGGCAATAATGCTGAAATGGAATGTTTATCTTCAGTCTATTTCTTACTGCTTTTTTCACAAGCAATGTTTTTTCACTTTTACAACATCGCTATCACTCCCTTTCCCCTTCCAACTAAAATCTATATAATTCTTATCAATCCACACAGTGGCATTTTTTTCTGAAAGTGCAATGAAAAATGCAAAATAATGGACGTCATGCATCCTAGAACTATAGTACCTTCTGCTGAGTGACTTATTTTGAGAATATTTTCAAGTCGTAACCCGTAAGAAAAAGTATTTTGGCCCTGTTGCTCTTAAACCTACAGACTTGGATTCAGCTGTAACTATATTTTGCTTAAAAGCTCCCAACATTTCATCTGCATAGATGAACATCCACAGAAGTCAATGGAGCACTTGCATCAGCTGGCTATAAGTAGAGAGGCCATTCACTGGACCAGAATAGCAGTCTCCACAATCTGCATATTTCCTCCAGTGTACATAAACCATTCTAACAAACTCTCATCTTTTTCAGCAATTATTTACATGGCTGTTTCATATATGTATTTTCAATTTCATTTTATTCTTGTGAAGCAGACTGCCGTGGTAGTGAATGAAATAAATATTCAGAGATTTGTTAACTTTTACCCTGTCCTCTGATGAAACCGAGAGTTAACTAACAATAATGGAGGGTTTCCAGAATCACAACTTCATAATACAGTTTTGGAATTCTCCTACAGGCTATGTTTGAACTGGTCACTTCAGAAGCCTCGTACTACAAAAGTCTGAATTTATTGATAGATCATTTCATGGAAAATGAGCGATTGAAAAAGATTTTGCATCCTTCAGAGGCTCACATCCTCTTCTCGAATGTCCTGGATGTCATGGCAGTCAGTGAGCGGTAAATCTTTTAATGGTTGTTATGAGTAGAGATGAAACTTCCCCATTTTTCCCTGAAAGGGACAGATAGTGGTTATGCTTATTTCCATCTTCCTGTATATGAGTGAATATGTTCTCTTAATAACATAGTAAAATGTACAGTATTGTCAAAATTGCTTCTCGGAAGTGGTATGATTATTAAATCCTATATCTTTTGCATCAGAAGCAGCCACGTGAGAAAACTGCATAAGACAAGCCCACTTCCTTCCTGTTGTAAGGAAGTGTACTTTGTAGGTTGAGGGAATTATGGATGGCAGCATGGTGATTGGGAAACATCCCTGGTGATTTCCACAGTCCTGTTCCTATTTGGACTCCTGCTGCAAGCTCTCTCAGAGGGGCCAATCTGTTTAAAAACAGTCCTGGTAACTATTTATTACCTCCAGTATTAAAGACAGTGTGTCTTTTTAATTGAACATTTTGGAAATACAGTGTTGGATTGAGCAGGTCTCTCATTTGTCAAGAGTCATATTCATATGACATAAATAATTCCAGATTGGTAATGTTCCAGACTGAACTTGAACCAGAAACAAGCCACAAATATTCTGGCTTTCACTCTATGTGTTTACCAGATTCTTTACTGCAGTTGTTATGTGGATATCAGTCATAACATAATTAGTTTATTTCTGCACCGATACATATAATAGGATTATACATTCCTTATTATACAGCTACTTTTCTTCGTGGGAATCAGATGTCTGGCCATGGGTATGTGGTCACTGTGGCCCCTTCCCATGAAATGAGGGCAGAAATCTTTAATTTATAGAGAACAGTGCCAAGAATTGGCCATTAATTAATTAAAAAACAAACAACAAGAATCCTTCAGTAAATTCTTAGTCACATGTTTTCCATGTCTGTCTAGGGGACAGTGTATCTCAGCTTAAAAATTGGACCATCAGTATCTTTTGCTGATATTGTGTAATATGTTGTTTAAACCTATTTATCAAATAAAGTGAAAATGATTGAATAGTCATGATTTAGTTTACACTAGATAACATTTTAAAAAAGGTAATGAACTTTCAGATATAATACTCACATGGCTCAAACATAGTATAAAAAAAATAAAGTTCATTCAGCAATGCAAATAAAAATGAAAATATTTTATAGTCTATATTGATTAGTCTCCCTGAAAAGTATTGTGGCAAAACACTGAAACTGAAGCTTCTGTAGTGATCCTTGCTTTCTCTTTGTTGACTATATCAATTTTTTATACTTATTTGAATGATTAATTCTTGATTTCTCATTTAGATTCCTCTTAGATCTTGAGAAGCGGGTAGAAGAGAACATTATAATCTCTGATGTCTGCGACATTGTCTATCAGCATACTATTAGCCACTTCTCAGTATATGTAACTTATGTGTCCAACCAGACCTACCAGGAAAGAGCTTACAAGCAACTTCTGTAAGTGTAATTTCTCAAGCATGGCTTCCTAATGAAACAGTTCAACTCCAGCACAGCAATTGGATAGCTTTCAGTGTCTTAATAGTTTAGCCCACAGGGAGAACTTGTTTTCACCAGTTTTTAGGAACTCAAGTCTGTTTTCAAGGTATAATTAAGTGCTTTCCCTGTAATCCATTTCGTACCAGAAAAAAAGATAGACATGTACCTAGGCAGAAAGAGGGCTATTACCTTTGTATGTTGTTCTGTCCCTCAGTCTACATGGCTCAGTCTACAATTTTTATAACATATGATCTGTATCTCCTTGCCCTCCTTTAATCTTGGCAGGACACCTTTCTTTCCTACCTATTCATGGAAGAACAGAAGCTCTTCTAAGTGGTGAGCTAGTAAAACTAGATGTGTTATCAGTCACAAAAAGACTCACTTTTTGTGACTGATAACACATCTAATTTTACCAGCTTAATCAAGATTGGTTCAGAACATTGGAACAGACCATACATGTTGCAGATAACTCTAGGCTTTTAGAAAAAAATTCCTAATTACATTAAGAAATGAACTAACAATTGTGAGCACACACATAAAAACAAGAAAACAATATAAATTCATCATAGTAAGCAGAGTTAAAAATACTGCTTGAAGCTTCCCTAATAATTATAGCACTTTGATCACCTTCAACCCTCCTGAGAAAGTTTAGGCAAAAATATTTAAGAGACAAAAAAGCCCAATTAATTCACATGTTATCTGTAAAAGTAATTTAACAAGTTGTTTCCTGATAATGTCAGGAACATTTTTACCAAAAGCATCTAACAAAGGCTAGGCAGAATCATGTCAAACATTTATAGTTAAAAAGACCAGATTCAGCCATTCATAGTGGTTCATGCTGAAGTCCTCTGTACCAGATATGTCCAGTAAGGATAGCTTTGTATTTCAGTAATTAGGTCAAATTGAGGCCCAGGGAAGGGTGTAAGTTGGCTAATTATTATATCGCATAACACTCTAAACATAAGCTTTGAAAGGCTACATCCAACCATTACATATGATACATAGGTCTGGTAATTATGACCAAATTTATCAGCAAAAGCAAGAATGGGCCATGGGGTTATCTGAAGGTGTCCATATCTATTTTAATTACTTTCTATAGATCAGAGTCATTTGCCCTGCACTTTACCGGTATGAGATACACTGTCTTAATTAGATATCTCTACCTAACTTCTGCATATGCTCCAGGAATGATTTTTTTGTTATTATTGAGATATCAGCTTGCTGCTATTTGTTTTGCTTATGATGTAAAGAAAAGAGCTGCAGGATACAATCTACGTGCTGTCTTTGAACCACTTCATATTGGTAGTAAAGTGGAAAAAAAATATAAAGTTTATTAGCAGAAGAAAAACAGCAGCATAATTTCTGATCTTTTATAAAAGTAATACATTTGGAATTCATAACTGGATATTATGATATTAATATTTGGGTAATAAAAATTCACGCATTTAATAATATTTAGGGGGTGTGTGTGTGTGTGTACACCTTTATAACAGAAAAGAGGCAGTCTGAAAAGAATATTTAAAATATGTAGGAAATGAGTAATGAAAGCAGAAAAGCATTTGCCTAAACACAGATAAAAATAGTAATAATTAGTCCAGTGCTATCTGCTTTTATGCTGATTATGTATATTATTATTCTTACTATTATTATTGTTCAAATTTGTATGCTGTTGAATCTTTCTGATTCTCAACAGTTTACAACAGCTTTCTTTTGATAGTATTGACCATAGAATTAGAACCATAGTGCTACTTTGGGAAAAGTAGCAACTCACCAATAGTGATGACTGGTTTTCATTTTATAGACCCATTTTGTATCCAGAGGAAGAGAAATAAATCTTTGAACCAATTCATACTCTGTAATGTCTGATTCTTAAGCAATTGAGATGTACTATAAATACTGCAAAGCTGTTACAAGCATACTTTTGTCCTTGCCATTCCAACTACCATTTCTTCCTGTAATTCAAGGTTAAATTGCTCCTTAACAAGTATTTAATAGCAGGGAATGGTATTCCTTAAAGATCTGTGATGTTACAGGATGGAAGTTATTCTTGGTTTGAGAATAATTCTTGCATAGGAAGGATAAATTAGGGAATGAGTAACACTGGAAAGAAAGTAGACTGAAGTAGATAAATATGGTTAGCATGGTGTAGTGGGACTTCACCTCTTGCATCAATCTCTGGTCAAAACATCAAAGAACAGTGCAAATCATTAGATGCATCAATTGTAATTAGGTAAGAAGTAGTGCATTCTCTGAATTTCTTGTTATGCCTCCATTTGAAGTTGCTCCAGTAACCAAAAGTTAAGCAACAAAAACAGAGATATAAAGTCAATGGGAAATCTTTCAGAGAAAAGCTATAATGGCTGTTCAACTCAATGTGCTTACTGTTGTATATGTGTTGCATGATTATACTCCTCTTCCAGGTCCCGGGCCAAACTGGCCTGAGGTTTGTTCCATCCATTCCTTCTGTCAGAAAAAATCATTCAGTGACTCATCTGGGTCTCACCAGGTCTAGAATTCACTTGAGCCAGAGTTCAGTGTTTGCGTGAGTTGTCTTCCAGTGTTGACAGTGCAATGTATGTTTGAACCTATGAACCAAGAATGCCCAATCAAAAACCCCTGATAACTTGGGATGCAGCTTCTAGAGACATCCAAATTGTTATCAAACTGTGATTTTAAATGTGACTGAGGAAGGAAATTTGTAAATACGTGATTTGAGGAATAAATGCTTGTCTATACTTAGTTTTACTTACATTTAAATATAAATTAAATTAAATTTAGTTTTTTTCCTGGTCCACCCACTATTTTTTGGATTCTGGCCCCTGGCATGCTATTCAAAGGCCAAGGGCAGCCCTAGCTGGAAAGAGCTGTTGTGCACTTCGGCTTTAAACCAATAATTTAGATTTAATCTTTTTATTTCAAAGGCTTCCATCTATTGTAGGTCATTATGAACACAAAGTTCCCTTACAATGCTGCCTTTTCTTGGCTGTGAGGAATCCAATAATGTGAGTTTCTGTGCAGCATAAACAAAAATTGTATGCTGCTTTTCTGTACCACTGAATCACACCAACCATATCCCTGACACTGACAGACCTGGCCTGTCTGTCAGTGTGAGCTGCTTCCCATCTGGGCCAGGTGAGTTCTTCATCTTGACATTTCCAGCTAGGTCTCCCTTGGTTAAAGCACTTTATAGAAAGCTGTCTTCTGTGACTATATGCATTTCACCATACCACAATAATCTGACTGTGTAAAAATGTATAATTATGTCTCTGACTCAACTGCTTGGACACACACTCCATTCACACACACCCACACACACAGCATATGCAGCTAACTCTGTGTGTGCTACACAGGGGAAGCCATTACCCTTGCTTGCACATAAAAGGTCTGTTTTTCCATTCTCCAATATTATAGATAGATTCAAGCATAAACCAACATTCAGAGTGCTAACATTTTTCCACCACAATTTTCAAAACAAGACCCAAGCCAAAGGCCAGGAGTATTGAGGAAGGTAGTGTCATCGATTAAAAGAATCACATAGAGCAGGTCAGTTACTCCTACAGGTTTAAAACAAAAGGAAATAACAAATACTGCTCTCAATCTGTCTATGTTGTCAGCCAAGACAAGCCAGCTTTCCGGGAGGTGATCTCACAGTTGGAACTGGATCCAAAATGCAAAGGCCTGCCTTTCTCATCTTTCTTGATTTTGCCTTTTCAAAGAATTACTAGGCTGAAGCTGCTGGTGCAGGTATGACAAAGTTATATTCTTCTTTTCATTTCTGTGTGGTGCTACCTGTGAAGGAGATCACAAAATTCAAATGGGGGAGGAAAAGCCAATAAGGAACATTCATGGGTATTAGGCTGCGTAGAAGTAGATCTGTAAGCACTCTGTTTTGTGAGGACAAAGATTGTATTACTACATCAGCAGCATGTTCTTACACATGTACTCAAGTAGAACCTGTTCAACAATACACAGAACAAGGACAGAGGAGTTAGAAATGTGTGTGTGTGTATGTATGTACAGTGGTACCTCGGGATATGAATGCCTCTACTAACGAACTTTTCGGGTTACGACCAGC